TCAGGGTTGATTTGAGATTATTTTACATATAACTCTTTTGAAAAAAATGGTTTAGAAAAGAGTATAAACAGATGTTCAAATTAAGAATATTTTAAACCAATCACAGCATATTGTGTATTGTGTTTTCACTTTTAACAAAATCTGGGGCAGGCAGGCATAATGAGGAAAATGGATTGTCCTAATATTTTCAAAACGAAACTCTTTTGTTATATTTGTTATATTTGTTTGTTTTGTTTGTTTGTTTGTTGTTTAACACCGCACTCAGTAATCTTCCAGCTATATTCCAGCTATATAGTCTGTAAATAATCAAGTCTGAACCAGACAATCCGGTGATTGACATGAGCATCGATCTGAGCAATTGGGATATGATGATATGCATTAATTAAGTCAGCGAGCCTTAGGACTACCTGATCCCGCTAGTCGCCTCTTTCAACAAGCATGGGTTGCTGAAAACCTATTCTCTACCCCAGATCTTCACAGGTCTCTTTTGTTATATGTCACACAAGCAAAACATGTTAAATGTAATGAATGTCATGGAAATGTACTCGAAGATTTAAAACAACCATGCAGTGAATTATGTTAATTGTTAATAAACACATACTAACAATGAGTTTTTTAGAAAACACTACAAGGCTATCCAAACAGGGAAATTGTCATCGTATGACAGCTCATTAGAAATCACAACTAGACCATCAACAGGGAAATTGTCATCATATGACAGTGCATTAGAAATCACAACTAGATCATCAACAGGGAAATTGTCATCGTATGACAGTGCATTAGAAATCACAACTAGACCATCAACAGGGAAATTGTCATCGTATGACAGTGCATTAGAAATCACAACTAGACCATCAACAGGGAAATTTTCATCGTATGACAATGTAATCTGTATTATAAACAGACACGTGTTTGATATGGACATTATGACATGGCAATAGATGTTACAGGTTAGACAAGTTACAAGTCAGTTCAAATACAAAGGCAACATTAAATATTTCACAACGATAAACCCTGTAGAGCTGCAGCATTTGAAGGCTACCGCCATGGCAGAAAGGTGTGCTTGCAAGCTCAGAATAATCAAGTTATGTCTGACACTGGTAACAAGATTAATCATCCTTGAGACAGATGCCTATTTTGTATTCCAATCTGCGGCTACCAAATAAGGCGTACTGATACAGAAAATAGTTCAGTTAATTTCCTTATGGAAGGTTGAACAAGTTCTCTCTGAAGTTGAAATATCGTAAAATTTGGTCTTTATAAAAAAACAATTCTATCACAAACTATCATCAAAACAGTAAGCAACATTCTTGCAATATTCAAGGCTGTTAAGTGGTTGAACATAGTACCGGTACCACTAACATAGTACTACAATGTGGAGTCATTCTTGATGTGTGATTGAATCTTCAGTTACACTGGATTCAGAAACATTTCTTATTATTTTGTTTCACTGCAATAATTAAGTCTGAGCCAGGCAGAATAGTGGTTGACAGCCTGAGCATCGATTCTCATTGGCAGGTGTATCACCCTATGATTATTTATTTAAGTCAGTTCCAACAATAATCATTGGGTACTGGGGACAGCTTCTGCCCTAAATATGTTCACAAATTCTTAAGCACTAAATCTATTCAAAATTCTTTCATATTTCAACTGAAAACTCACAAAAGTTAGTTTTTTAAATGAAAATATTAAATCAATAATGTTGTGAATATGTTTCTCTGAAATAAGAAGTTATTTGTCAGAATCCGAATTGTTCTCATGTATCCACACAACCTCTATATAAGGTAAGATTAATAATCAGTTTATCAGTCACCCTTGTTGAATTTAATTCTCAAGCGAAACTGATAAAAAATGATGAAAATCAATAAAATGATGGAAAATATCTAATAAGAAGATATTACAGGAAGGAGAATATCACCTTAATGCTTTTTTCGACCCCAAGAATTAATAACCTACCGTGATGAAATATAATAACAAACGTCCATTACTGCTATACTCGGATCCATAGGCGGCTATTATTGTGATCACTAGTTTGGCTAGGTTAAAAAGGCAAAGCAATGATGTTGCTTAGAGTATGCTACTTTGTATGGAGATAGTCTACTTATTTTGTGAGAAATACCCTTGAGAGGGTTAATGGTGAGTTTTTATCTAAAACCTGACTTTCACTTTGTGTGGGTTCATTGGTGAATGAATCTTCATAAAATGGTATGAATGTCACTTTTCATGTTTCATGTTTCATAAGATCATTACGGTTGGTTATTGCATGGTCTCCAGGGGTGGAACTACCATTGTAGCAGAAAAGCAATTGCTTACACTTGAAAAAAGCATAAGTTTTGAAAAAAATAAAATAAATGAGCCTAGTTGCGGCCCTGGTCTCAAGTATATAGCGGTATTCAAAGCCATAACACACAGAGCTGTAAAGTGAAATAGCCCTTCTTTCTGCAAACGGGGAACGGTGTCTGCTTGTACCCGTCCAGACTAACGTTGATTTTACAGTTCTAGCCCACTGAGATACCATGCCACAGTTTAACATGAATACTCCACTCAGACACAGCATTCCTTGTTTTAGCCCTTTAACGCTGAGTGCTAGACAGGGTGACAACAAGTACCATCTTTTAACATCTTTAGGCATGACGAGCCTGGGGATCAATCCCACGACTGTCCATTCTCCGGGCAGACGCTCTCTTCACTAGACCACAGAGGCGATCAGTCTAACATAGAAGTGTAACACTTTATTTATTGTATGTGAGTCTGTGCTACAAACTGATTGCGCTGATACTGTTGTTAATCGTTAACTGCACATGTACCAAGTTTGATAACATTTTCAAGAAAAATAGCTGAGTAATGGACATTGATAGCTATTTCATAATGGCTCAGCCCTGATGGCCATTTCGAAAATTGGGTTTGAACCTCTTGAAAACATTAAGGTGTTATCAGTGATGGGAACAAGCATGTGAAGTGTTTCCTTCACTGCATCAGTGTTTTTGGAGATGATGTTCACGATGGGTGATTCTTGATTACTTAGTATTTTCCAAAACGGCTGTTGGCACACATGTTGGAATTCCAACCCAAATCCTTAAACAAACTTGGAACTACATTTGGCATCCATCTCATCCTCCTAAGTCCACGCTTGAGGCCCTTCAAATTTTGGATAGGAAGAATTTTGATTTTCTATTTCTTAAATCAAAGAAATGTAGTGAGTGAGTGAGTGAGTGAGTGAGTGAGTTGGGTTTAATGCCGCTTTTAACATTATTCCAGTCATATCGCGGCGTGTCAGCTTAATTAATGTGGGAGGAAAGCCCGAAGTGATGCAGGTTTCAGATGTTTACCACTTCGGTGAAACCCACGAGCACGGGTATGGTGCTGACAAACCTAGAAACATAATTGGGACGAACCAGGATTCGAACCCACAATCATAGGTTTCTGACGTGCCCAAGGGACGCAACTCTGCACAGCGAATCGCGGCGCCTTAGACGACTGGGCCACCTGTGCCCCCCTAAAGAAATGTAAAAAATGTACAGACGACCACAATGATGGACAACAGGCGATTGCTTAAATTCACATGGCCTTGTAGGCCAAAAATTAAGTTTGATCAATATTCATCAGAAACAGTTTGATTTAGTTGATGTTTCTTCATATTCTACCATAGATCCATGTTTGTCGGTTGTCATGAAAGCATTCTGAGAATTGTGGAGTGACATCATGACTGTCGTACAAGAGAGTGCTGCAGAAAATAACTTTGTATTTTGCATTGTCAATAAATATGAAGTGTTTTCAGATTTTGTGTTTATATTGTCTCTTCTATTCCCAGACTTTTTAACATTTAATGCCATTGGTTTCCATGAAATTTCTGGGCAGCAAACATTCAATGACACTCAAAAACATAGGATGTTTATATCCTCAAAGAAATCCATGAACCAAGATATGGTACATATGGACTATGGATCATTATCCTGGAATCCAACCTGCAACAAGTTGAACCTGGTCTGGCTGAGTGATGGACAGTCAACTGACACATTCCAACCACTTGGCCACCTCTGCTCTCGATGGGTGAGTTAGTGAGTCAGTAGGGTATATGCCATTTTTAGCAATATTCCAGCCATATTAAGGTAGAGGCCACCAAGAATGGGCCTTACACATTGTAGCCATGTGGGTTACCGTATTCAACGTAATAAGCCCCCCGCTCTAATAAGCGCCCATGGCGATATTTGCTAATATGTTGGCTAGTGAACAATCCCAATTAGCACCCTTTCTGATTGATCAATGTACACAAGACTTATTTATTTGTGTATAATATGCACTCTTGTGTTATATGCACCCTTAATTATGGGCAATTTAATTCTCGAAAATATATCTATCGTGTATAATACACACAGATTCTTCTTTTATATAATTTCAGGCTGTCAGCATAAACCACAAAATTTACAATCTTTCAACTCTGTTTTTTATCTCACCAAAATTATATTCTAATAAGAGCCCCCTATTTCTAATTTTGAGAGCGCCCTGGGCGCTTATTACGTCGAATACGGTATCTAACACAGATCTATGTCATGATCAGCAAACACCACAACCACTATGGCCCCTTTCCACAATGCGGCCATAATGCTATGGCTGTTGTAAGTCTATGTTAAAGTATAGGAGTTACAATGGTTTTTGGAAACATGGCCAAGGCTACCAAACAGAGTCCTTCTGATTCACAGTAGATGAAACACCATTGGGGAAATATAGTAAAACACGAGCCAACAATGAATTTCCCAATCCCAAAATAGTTACCATAATGTCAGAGTTTTGATGTGAAGTAGGAATCTTTGAAAAAGAAAATTACTCACTGCATTTGGTGCAGTAATGATTTGAAGAAATAGCTGTCACGAAAAACTTCATGATAATATTACAAAGCTATATACGCACAGATAGCACAAAAACAGTTGATACATGCCAGACAGTGAGGACCATCTGTACCTGTCAAACCAAACTCTGTACCTGTAACAAACTCAGCTTACCTTGGGCACACGGGCATATTTCCCTGTTCGTGTATCACGTATCTGGGAGATATCAATAAAATCCATCTCCTGCAAGAAAATCAAAATAGTAATTACATTTTATGTAAATTACACAAATTCTACAATATTCATGACTTGCAATCATTTACCTCTTCCAAACAATGTTCTTCCATTGTACTTCAAGTAAACTGATCTAAATTGTGATATTTCAAAATGTTACTCAGATTACTCTGACAATAAAGCCATATAAATAATACACTTTCACATTATCACATGCTGCATGGTAGTATCCCAATTCTACCACAAATATGCATGGTGTTATATGATAACCAAGTTCTAGCACAGAGCTGCATGGTGTTATATGATAACCCAGTTCTAGCACAGAGCTCCATGGTGTTATACGATAACCGAGTTCTGCCACAGAGCTCCATGGTGTTATATGATAACCCAGTTCTACCACAGAGCTCCATGGTGTTATATGATAACCCAGTTCTGCCACAGAGCTCCATGGTGTTATATGATAACCCAGTTCTACCACAGAGCTCCATGGTGTTATATGATAACCATGTTCTGCCACAGAGCTGCATGTAGTTATATGATAACCCAGTTCAACCACAGAGCTGCATGGTGTTATATGATAACCCAGTTCAACCAAAGAGAGCTGCATAGTGTTATCTAGTATCCCAGTTATACCACAGTGAGCTACACAGTGTTATCTAGTATCCCAGTTATACCACAGGGAGCTACATAGTGTTATCTAGTATCCCAGTTTTACCACAGTGAGCTACATAGTGTTATCTAGTATCCCAGTTATACCACAGTGAGCTACACAGTGTTATCTAGTATCCCAGTTATACCACAGGGAGCTACATAGTGTTATCTAGTATCCCAGTTTTACCACAGTGAGCTACATAGTGTTATCTAGTATCCCAGTTATACCACAGTGAGCTACATAGTGCTATCTAGTATCCCAGTTATACCACAGTGAGCTACAGTGTTATCTAGTATCCCAGTTATACCACAGTGAGCTACACAGTGTTATCTAGTTTCCCAGTTATACCACAGTGAGCTACACAGTGTTATTGGGCAACCAATTTATACCACAGCATGCTTCCTAATATTATGTGGTACCCAGTTATAAGGGCTGAATTGTGTTATCTAGTTTTTAAGGTCTTGCGTTTAAGTATGTGTTTAAGTATCTAAATATTGTCTATGAATGCTATTGGTATCTCATGAAATGTAACGTTTTGATTAACAAAATTAAATTATTCCAAATAAAAACCCAGCAAGAACAAGAAACTAAATTATCATAATGTCTAATTTCAGATGCATGTATGATCAAAAGACATGAATCTCTTCATCACTTTTCTTCACCCTTGTTTTTCATAAGCAGAGTCCGAAGATGACAGCTTTGCAAATACATGCTCATTAGATACGGCATTATCGGTCTAAGGTTTCAATTTCATTTGATAATTAGTAATCATGGAACAAATGTGAGCAAAGGAACTGGTACAGGAAATTCCCCAAATGACATTACAAGAGCATGGATTGTGATGCATTATCCACACAGATTTGATTGTCATTCTTTTAGAGCTGATTCTTTCTGCACGTTTTTCCAAATTGTAGCGCACCAAAGCCACATGTTACATGTTAACGCTGTTGTGACCCGCACGACAAGCTATTTCCAAATGTCAGTTGCAACCTCTTGATTCAATTGTAGATATTGCAACCACAATGATTCAATGAATGATGAGTCATTCCAGGGTAAAAATGGCAAAGTGTATTTCTCGTCGCAGTGGAACAAAGTATGTGGATGCCCAAGGCAAGATGCTCTTAATTCACACTTGGAAGTCTCTGTGGATTCCTCAGGGGAAAAACACTATCTGGTTTATTGAACCATGATTTACATTTTTGCAAATTACAAGTTTTTGTAGATATTACCTGATGGTTTATAGACTTGAAATTATATCTTTCAAATTATCTAATTTGCGTTTGATTAGATAAATTATATGTAGAAAAGAACAAGGTCCAAGTTGCTTTCAGTGTAAATTAAAATTTCACAATATTCAATACATACTGGGGTTACTATCAACTATCATTACTGTTTGTGAGAAATGAAGATATAGATTTAGTTTTCAGGCTGAATGCCACTTTATACTGAATTTCAGTTATATCAGCTTAAATTGGGGAGAAACCCCAAGTTGACACAGTTCATAGATGCTGACCACTTTAGTGAAACCGACAAGCATAGATGTGATGCAATTCTGGTATCGGACCCCATGATCAGTGGCTCCTGCTATGGCTAAGGGATGTAACTCTGCACAAAATATTACAGCACCTTTTTAGCTATTGACCCCCATGCCCCAAGTAGGTTCGGGCACAGTGAGGTCATCAAATAAAAGTGTGGGAAGGTCAACATGAAAATATTTTAAATATAACATTTTCAATATGGCTGCAATGTTTGAAATTGAATTAGATGACTGTGAGCAAGATCATCAGGCCTGAAATTATCTTTGCATTCTAGTTTCAGTTCCATAAGCTTGCTTGTTCTAGAGGTGATGTCAATAAGGAAGAGAATATATGGACTTCAACTTCTTTCTTATGAGGAACACAACGTTTCGGAGTATATGTTTACTCCTTCATCAGGTGAATGAATGCCATGAGGCAGGGAGCATATGATGAAGAAGAAGAAGTTTATTCATGAATGAAGGCCACATGACCCAGAGTTCATTTACAGGAATAATATATACTATGCACATGCACAAATTTTCTTTCGACAAACGTTCATCTTTTTTTACATTTGTATTTACATAGGTAAATGTCTTTTTAGATATATGGACAGGTTTTTAATAATACAATCATTTCTGGTAGATAGAAGACTGATAAATTTTGGGACAGATGGTTGCACATGGTAACATTTTGGAATTAAATTTTCTCTACTACTTGACCCAGGGTTCATTTACAGGAATAATATATACTATGCACACGCACAAATTTTCTTTCGACAAACGTTCATCTTTTTTTACATTTGTATTTACATAGGTAAATGTCTTTTTAGATATATGGACAGGTTTTAATAATACAATCATTTCTGGTAGAAAGAAGACTGATAAATTTTGGGACAGATGGTTGCACATGGTAACATTTTGGAATTAAATTTTCTCTACTACTTTTATAAAAAGGACAAATTAACAAAAAATGGTATTCATTTTCTATTTCATAGCGGTTACATTTCATACATAAACTAAACGATGACTCTGTGGTTGTATTAAATCGAGTTTTCTGTACATTTAGATTATGGCTTAAACAACGGAATTTACATAAAGCTCTAAGAAGATCTCTTTCACATGCTAAATTAGACAGATATTTTTCTGGTTCGAGTAGTGATTTATAAGATGAATAAACCTCAAGGAAAGAAGAAATTCTATTCTATCTTTACACCGTTGTTTGAATATAACCATGAAGCATTTCATATCGCCGCAATCCTGAGACAACCACACATATGAAAACCCAGTTTGAAACAATAATTGTCTTATATAAGAAACCCAGTTAGTTTGACTAACATATGTACAAGGACAACAAAAATAATAAGATAACGAAAGGTGGAAACTAAGGACAACAAAAATAATAAGATAACGAAAGGTGGAAACTAAGGACAAAAAAAAAATAAGATAACAAAAGGTGAAAACTAAGGACAACAAAAATAATAAGATAACGAAAGGTGGAAACTAACAAGGGAAGCCAAATTATGATGAAGGAGTAAGCATGTACTCCGAAACATTGTGTTCCTCATAATAAAGAAGTTGACATCCATATATTCTCTTCCTTATGTGTATCACTTCTAAATGCCTTTCAAAGACCTGGTGATGTCAATAGACTCAATACTGTAAGAGTTTTCTTTTAGCTTTTCATAAAGCTCACCTTCGCGAGTTTAAAGGTTCTTATTTTCCCAACTTCTCTGGTATTTCAGAATTGAATCCAACATATTAATTTGAATGTGACCTTTGTAAAGTTATAACAATAATTGTAATCAGGATTTTACATGATGCTACAGTTTCGGAGCCATTCATATTGGCGTCCAAAAGCACCTAGTTCAATCACTGACGACAATGTGCACCTCTCGAGACACATCATGTCCAACATCACATGTGGACCAAGTTCATATGTCATTTGAATTTGGATCAGACAGATGAGACAAAAACTTCTGATGGTTTATTCATGTGGACGATTTGGGATAAACTGACCAAATATTGATGCATCATAGTGAAGAAAACTGAATACAGTAAAACAGGAAGATTTCAAATATGCACAAAACATCAATGGCCTCCTGAAGTCTGAACATGCACTTGGATTTACCGGGGTCACTTTCTTCTGGCTCCATCCACTGTGAATAATTCATCAGTCGGAGAAAAACTTCCAAGACAAATTACCTTCTGATCAGAAAGTAAAGGCTGTGCCTTAAATAATTTATCAATTCATCAATGAACATATTTTACTGTCCCAGAAAATACACTTAATTCATTTAAGGATCAAAATGGAATGGGATATTTATGGGGCCGAAATATTAGAATTTTGGTGAATTTGCAAATATGGAAATCAATATTTTCCACAATAAAATTCAAAATATGAATTCTAATTACATCATCAGAAAATGAGTGTTTGAGAGAGTGCAATCAGAAAGCGTTTCTTTACCTTGCTGGTCTGATCCTTCCAGTAGATAATGTAGCCATTTTGGTCTGCTCTCAGGGTCACATGAGATCCGACTGTTGAGCTCTGGGGACAGAAACATGTATGTGAGTATTACAGGCAGGATGATGATCTTGTAGACATAGCTACATGCAGACATGGGTAGCAAGTCCATGTGAAGAGTATAACATTACATCAATAGCTTCAGGAAAAAACTAAACCTTCACCATACTTTTGCATGGAAACATCTGTGACATTGGTGTGTTCAGCAATGGGTCTTTAAAATGCCTCGTAAAAGGTTAATTAGTATACTATTCTTAATTCTGGGCATGATTCATGCAAGCCCTAAGTTTTGTCCCTTGAAACAAGGGTCTGGAACAATTCTATCTCGTGAGCTTAATGTTTGCAAAAGCATCAAGAGTCATCAGAAGGTGACAAATCCCCCCGGACCCTGAAATATCAAAAGGTACCACTTCAGCTCCTGGTTAATACATGTGCAAAGTTGAGATGAAAAATCTTCCGGAAACGAAATATATGGACATACAGATGGGCGGAGGGACGGACAGATGATGACTCTATCCACCCACATTATATGCCAGGGGGATAAAACATCTGAATTTAATTCAAAAGTATGTCTAATACAAAGTAAATTTTTTTTAACGTACATTTCAAGATTGTTTTGTGAAGTGATATAACACTACCCACATTTTCAACAGGCATTTTCAAACAAAGAATCAATACCTAGGTAATGATCCATACATTGACTTTCTTCCTTGTGATTATTTCACAGCACACAGCATGGTGGTTGACCATCAAGCATAGTTATGTCAGAATCTGGGATTTGACCATCAAACAGCATATCCTGGCAAGGCCTAGATACCCAATTCCACACATCAAGTTGTCATATCCAACACAACTGCCCAACTTCTTACAAGAAAATACAGATTTTGTGTACCACTGGACAGAAGGAAACATGTAAAATGTCAGACAACTAAGGCCATTGGTTGAAGTCAAATGTCAGGGGCTGCTGGTTGAAATGCCAGGCACAATATTAACTCTGTATCATCATGATAACTGATTAGCTGAAAGATCAAACTCATCAACCAGCAATTAACATTGCATCAATTAGTCTAACAGCCACATGACAAAGTGATGAATGTTACGTGTACCTTTCAATTACCAGGACAAACACGGCGGAACAGCCCTGATTCCAGGAGTCAACAAGTGCCTATTTGATCTGTATTTAACTGCATGATCATTAGCGTAAGGAGGAAGAAAATGATCAAAGTCAATGATATCGATAAATGTTTAATGTTTGTTGTACCACGCTGTGAATAACGTTCTTGTTATGGATACAGGAGAGCTTAATTTTTTTCCCAAACAAAAGACGACTGCTATTGGTTCTGCAAATGGTTAGTGGAATGTTTGGTTATGCCAATCCGAATCCTTTCATGAAAGTGGGTGATGCATTTGTAATTCAAAAATGTTTTCAATCATTTCTGAAAACGGTGCCGACATTCAATATGATATGACAGGCAACTGATCTTTCATTTCAAAAATTCTAATAGCTGGATTCTTTTACATTCAGATTTGAAAATTATAGTTTGCCTTGAAAAAAATCCAGTATGTTGACTCATTCACTACTTTAATGATGAGGATTAACAGGCCTTACAAGTTTTCAATCTGACAAAATCAAAATCAATGTTTCAGGGTTTCCAATAAAGAAATCACTAATCATCAGTATATACCCCTTCTGGGATGGCTTATTGCTCTGATGTGCTATTTATGCAAGGTTACTGTGATCTGTGTTTTTTTATATTCCAAACAATTCACATTTTCACCATTTAGTTTTGGGGAGATATATTGGTATGTCAGAAAAATATAAGAAGGAAGTCTTTTTCAGACATCCCACTTTTGAGGTGCTCCCTTACTTATCCCACATTGAGCATTGTCCCTCAGTTATGTGGATTTTGCGCTATATAAATAGCTTTATTATTAGTAGTAGCAGTAGTAGTAGTTATTATCATCATCATCATCATCATCATCATCATCATATTATTATTATTATTATTATTATTATTATTATTATTATTATTATTATCCCCTTTGTGTGACAAACATTAATTATTGCTGCCACATAGATGTCAGTCTTCCACACAATTACAGGCCTCCTCATTCCATCCAGTGTGGTCAACCTTTGCAGGTGACATGATAATGTTGAGTCTCACATCTGTGTACACATTTGTCAGTCTGCGACATTCCACCCCCATGTTTGTTACACAACACTCAATCTGACATGGCCTGTAAACACTATCTATCTGACATGGCCTGTTAACACTATCTATCTGACATGGCCTGTTAACACTATCTATCTGATCACTCTGTAGCCATGGCCTGTAAACACCATCTATCTGACATGGCCTGTTAACACCATCTATCTGACATGGCCTGTTAACACTATCTATCTGATCACTCTGTAGCCATGGCCTGTAAACACCATCTATCTGACATGGCCTGTTAACACCATCTATCTGACATGGCCTGTTAACACTATCTATCTGATCACTCTGTAGCCATGGCCTGTAAACACTATCCATCTGACCACTCCAAAGCCATGGCCTGTAAACACTACCAATCAGATCAATCTGTAGCCATGGCTTGTACCATTGGAACTAAACTGACACAACTACAGGAAATTTACATTCATATCCCCCCAAAATAATCTATGACATGTTTTATTCCCTGGTTTGTGTATGTTTGTGAGGCATTGTGGTACTGTGAATGATAGAAGAAAATGACCCAAAAAACAAAAAGGAAGCATATCATTCTTTTTCCCAATTCTTCCAAAAGGTAATATACTGTCGAAGAAACTATTGCCACGTGTGCCATGTTACTTGAGCCAGTCTCGTCAGACTGGCAGTCAACATGCAGCATTTGGCAGAGTAAAGAAAGCTCTATCCAGATTCAACTTTTTTTCTGCTTTTCATACATTAAAGGTCAGCTGATCCAAAAACAAATTCTGGAAAAATGTGTTGTCTCAGAAATGCATGATTTGTTGGTACAGCCATTGTGCTGTGAAAATAACGGTACACACCTCTGATTGAACAGCTGGTTATGTCCTTGGCAACGAAGGACAACTGGTCCATAAAACCAATTGCGTGAAAAAAATCATTCTTTTGTTCAAGTCATTAAAAGTTTGTATGAAAGGACATCATAACAGACAGCCTGACAAGGATTAACAAGTTCTACTGGTCTTCAACAATCTGTACTGAAAGGCTACAGCATACTGATATCAAAGAGTGCCAAATGTCAGTCAACACCATGATAATTACAAATTTACTCCAAATTGAGTCTTTTCACTCAGCAACTCAGGAAAAATAAAAATACGGGCAGACGGCAAGATAGAATTAATTCACTCTACAATAGTATCATCTTCTTTGCCTGCCACAGCACTCTAATCTATCAACAATTCATTGGAAAAACATGCTTTATTAATTTCCTCTAGCTACTAATCCATCAATCAAATGATGAAAAGGGTTCCGCATATGAAATATTCATATACACAGATGCACACTTTAGCATCAGATTTGTCGTTTTTCATCACAGTTTTTGTGAAAATGTGAAAGGCAGCCATTTATTTCACTTTTTTCCCCACAAATATGCTTCCTTGATAATGTTGCTATTTCTGGGCAAGTGGTTTAAGCCGTGTGAAAAGTTGATTTAGTCAAATCATAATGAATAAATCGACAGCACCATATTACAATCATTGCTTGCAAATTATTGACGAAAACTGGTGTTACTTATCTTAGATAAAATACTGCACTTGAGACTGAGCCTGAGGCAGTGTCCATAGTTGACAGTCACTTGGTGTTCCTGTGATTGGATCAAGGGCAGCTCTTTACTGCTTCACTGATTGTGAAAAACACCGATTTGCTTACTAAGTGAAACTCTCACAAGAATATATCAAGGCCGTAGTTAACTTTTTTTGACAGGGGGGGCAAATATTTGTACAAGTATCACTTGTCCCCAACTTGATTCAAATAAAACTGTTTTCTATGAAAAATCTGCCCTCCCTGGCCCCCGGCTGGCTACGGCACTGCATATCCAGTAATACTGATATGCTTCAATGATAATCAAAAAAGAATTTCACCTAGATTGAATTGTGTCAAAGTTACCCAAGGGAAAACATCCTGTTACAATATTAACCTCCAAGTAACCTAAATTATACAAAGCCTTATCAAGGCTCATAATCTGGAAGAATCGTTGGCTTAAAACTCAGTGGGTACCAACACGGCTAAGGGACACAACTCTGCACAGTGAGTTTAGTGCCTCCGACCTCTGCCGGATTAGAGGATGGAGACATACAGCTTGAATAATGGTTCCACAGTGGTGATGCACAATAACCCCTTAAGTACTGGTAATCATTAAAACCTTTGAAAAGATATTGAGTCAGCCTCTGCTCAAGACAAGTACAGAATGTAATTATCAGGCCAAAGTGACAATTAGGATTCTGTGAGAGCTACCCTTAACACTGAGTAAGTAAGTGAGTGAGTGAGTGAGTGAGTGAGTGAGTGAGTGAGTGGGTGGGTGGGTGAGTGAGTGAGTGAGTGAGGTGAGGTGAGGTGAGGTGAGGTGAGGTGAGGTGAGGTGAAATGGGGTCAACGTCGCGTCCAAGATTTATACACTTATATAGCAACGTGCATGTGCATGTGCATGTGTGTGTGTGTGTGTGTGTGTTTGTGTGTGTGTGTGTGTGTCCTTGTACTAGTCCGGAGTGGTGCCAATTTATAGTGCTAACCCACTGAGATAGCATGCCCCAGTTTAACACAAAGACCCCACTCAGATACAGTATACTCAGACACAGTAAGCCGACCAGTCCTTGTTTTACCGCCTTAATGCCGAGCACCAGACAGGGTAACAACAAGTACAAGAAGAGGTTTTACACTGCAATACTCAAGGCATATCAAGGCAGAGAACACTAAGAATGAGTTTTATAACTTGTACTCATGTGGGGAATTGAAAGGCAACTTTCTCCAGACAAATGCTTTAACTACAAGGTCTATCTGTCTTACCATACCATGTAAGTT